AATTAAATCTAAATTAAGCTTTTAAACTTAATGTTTCATCAATTAAGTCCCTAACAAAATTAATTTGACTTTTTAAAAGTCTAATTTAGAGTGCATTGAAAAAAACCTTCTTGTCTTCCTCAAGATCTAGAATAATGCAACTAATGCTCGAGTTACAATCCACGAAGAAAGGATCTTTGTCTATAATGGACTACATCATAAAGGTCAAAAGAGTTGTAGATAATCCAATAACTATTGGAAAACCTTTCTTAGAACAAGATTAGGTTATGAATCTCCTTGGAGACCTTAGATGTAACTATAATGCAATTGTTACTATTATTAACATAAGAGATGACAAGATCTCTATTAAAGTTGTTCATAGTATGCTTCTAGCTTTTAAGTATCGTCTTAAGCAACAAAGCTTAATTAAACACATCTTTACTATGTTTGCCAATTATGCCTCTTCTTTTAATAATAAAGGTGGTGTAGGGACATATAATGGCAATTGAGGATAAAAATATACTCCCAATATTAATAACTATACCTATAGAGGTTGTGGTCAAGAGGGTAGATATAAATAGAATGAAAGGCATAATTTAACCAACTCTGAGAAGCCACAATGTCAGTTATGTGGCAAATTTAGTCATACATTTCAGGTCTGTTACCACATATTTGATATCTCCTATCAAAGCTCTAAGAATTGTGATATTCCTTTTTCGAATGCTGGTAATCAAAACTCTATACCTATTATGGTTATCTTTTCTAATAATCTTATTGATGACATTCTGAAGCAAGTCATCATCTAACTAGAATATGAAAAATATAATTGGTTCTACACCTTATATGGGGAGAAATAAGGTCACAATTAGTAATGGTAAGCACCTATCCATTTCAAACACTAGTTCTCAACATTTAGTCTCTAATTTATATTCCTTCCAACTCAAAAGGGTGTTTCAAGTTCCATTTATCTTAACAAACTTGATAATTGTTACTAAGTATGCTAAGATAATAATGTCTTAATTGAGTTTTGATCTAATAGTTTCTTTATCAAGGATCTACATACGAAGAAGGTGTTTGTTCGACGTAGACTTAAGAATGACCTTTACAAGTTTCCAGTATTAAATAATCAGAAATTAGCTTATATTAGTGTTAATAACTCTTCTATTTTTCACTCTTATAGTTTTCATCCTGTTGATAATAAAATGGAGTTATGGCATCACAGACTAGGTCATGATGTCACTGACATTGTAACCCGAGTAATGCAAAGTTGTAATGTGTTCTTATGAAAAGAATAAAGCTATGGTTTGCTTTATTGTTTGTTCTTCCTATAAACTTGCTAAAAGTCATAGGTTACCTCCTCATCTTTCACTTTCTTATGCATCCAAACCTTTGGTACTTGTTCACACTGACATTTAGGATCTACCTCTGTTAAAGCTATATCTGGTGCTAAATATTTTATCTTATTTCTAGATGACTACTCCTAGTGCACAAGGTTTTATCCTCTACAAACAAAGGATCAAGCTCTTCCTATCTTTAAGTAGTTCAAACTTCAAGTTGAGAATCAATTTGATCTTAGAATCAAATGTATACAGTCTGATAATAGAGGTGAGTTCAGGCCCTTTATGACTTTTCTTTAGCAATCTAGCATACTTTATCGCTTTTTTTACCCATACAACTCAACTTAGAATGGGAGAATTAAGAGGAAGTAAAGGCAGATTGTTGAATCTGCATTGGCCTTACTAGCTCATGCCTCCCTACCAATGAAATTCTGGCAATATGTCTTTCAGACAGCAACCTTTCTTATAGATAAAATGTCAAGTCAAGTACTCAACCATGACTCACCCTATTTCATTCTTTTAAAAAAAATTCATGATTATATGTCTTTTAAAGTGTTTGGTTACTTGTGTTACCCATTAATATGTCATTAGAACAATCATAAGTTGTAGTATCGATCTGTTTATTTTATTTTTCTTGGTTATATAGCTTCAATCACAAAGGATATTTGTGCCTTGATTTTCTGACTAGATGAATCTATGTTACCCCTCATGTTGTCTTTGATGAAACACAATTCCCCCTCACTAAAACTCCCAATCTAACCAATGACACTTCAACAATGATTTTAACTCCAACAATTATAACTTTCTTTACTTCTTCAACTTCATATTCTACTGGTAGCCATGAATCACCACCATTTTCTTTCACTTTTATGGGTGACAATGCACATTATATGAGTAGTTTTGGAATTACTCCTACCTCTAGTACCTTTCTTGAGTCATTTTATGCGGCTCTGACTCCCTCTTCTCCTCTAACTCAATGTATGACAACAAGATTGATACGTGTTATAACCAAGAAAAAGACCATTTTTTATCTCTCTACTATAAAGATCTTAGAGCCATACACTCTCAAACAAGCCCTCAAAGATCCAAACTGAACTCAAGTTATGGATCTAGAGATTGCTACTCGTCATCGAAACCATATATGGGATCTTGTTCAACACCCTTTGGCTGTCAATTTAATAGGTTGTAAATGGGTGTACAAGCTAAAACACAAGCCAAATAAGAGCATAGAAAGGTATAAAGCCAGGCTTGTGGCTAAAGGGTATAACCAAACTCATGGTCTTGATTATTTTAAGACCTTTAGTCTAGTTGTTAAGGCCATAACTATTTGAATCATATTAATTGTTGCTCTTAATTTTAAGTGGGAAATGCAATAGCTTGATGTTCATAATGTTTTTCTAAATGGTGAGTTAGAAAAGAAAGCATACATGACTCAACCTTATGGATACATGGACACTAAATTCCTAACCAAAATGTGTAGATTGAAAAAGGCTTTATATGGCCTGAAACAAGCACTACAAGCTTGGTTTCAATGACTCAGTTATGCTCTTTTACTATAGGGGTTCAACAATTCTAGGACTGATAGTTAGTTTTATGTTTCTACACTTTGGTAAATCCATAACTTTGATCACCCCTGCCTATGTTGATGATATAATCATCATTGATAGCTTATCAACACAGATTTCTTCACTCATTGCGAAGCTTGACTCTATTTTTACCTTAAGAGGCATGAAGTAGCTATTCTACTTCCTAATTGATAGCCTATGTTGACTCATTGATAGCTTATCAACACAGAGGCATGAAGTAGCTATTCTACTTCCTAGGTATGAAGATCTCTAACAATGAATGCTCTATGAATTAAAGCCAAACCAAATATATTTTTCATTTGCTGTATAGAACTGTAATGTTTAATACCAAACCAATAAAAACACTTAGTACTGTTGGGCATAATTTGTTTAAGTTTGATGGTGATTCTATGAAAGAGGTTACTCAATATCGAAGTGTTGTAGGGGTACTTCAATATCTTACCATAACTAGGCTTGACATAACTTTTATTGTTAATAAGGTGTGTCAATTCATGCAACAGTCAACCTTAACTCATTGGTTTTTTGTCAAAAGGATTCTTCGATATCTAATAGGAACTATGCAAGATGGATTATTGTTAAGTCCTTTAAGCCACTTGATCATAGAAGGATTCACCGATGTAGATTAGGGTGCTCAACATAATGATAGCGCAACACAAATGGGTATCTGGTTTATCTAAGGGTAACTTAATCTATTGGTACTCTACCAAATAAAAGGTTGTGTCTCATAGTAGTGCAGAATTAGAGTATCAAGGTCTTGCTTTAGCTACTGCTAAAATTGTTTGGATGTAAACCTTACTGCAAGAACTATATATATCCATACCACCAATTCCTCTATTCTGGTAAGATAATATCAATGCTTATTATATGGTAAAGAATCATGTGTTTCATGCTAGAACGAAGCACATAGAAATCGATCTTCACTTCATTTGATATCAAGTTACAAGAGAAAAGATACATTTGCATTTTGTTCATAGTGAAGAGTAGCCAACAGATCTAATGACTATGCATCTCATAAGTTCAAGGTTTTTCTCCCTCAAAAAACAGCTTTGTATAGTTCCCAGACCCTTTCACTTAATGGGGGATGATAAGCCAACTAGAAGAGTCTTTTACATGATTTACCCAACTTGATATTATTGGGTTTATTGTTATTGATTTGTTATATTGTTATAACTATCTAACTCTAGAAACTTATCATAATTGCTTTATAGTTATACCAACTGTCATTATAACTTGTTTTTCCTCCTTCTATAACTACCTACAGAAAAAAAAAAATATATGGTTTACTCTCTGGCTTCATATAACAAGTAAACATATATTTATTTTTTAAAATTCAATCTTATTAAAATAATATTTTTTATTTTTTATAATTTATTTTTAATATCATCACATCTAAAAAATTAAAAAATTTAATAAAAAATAATTTAAAATAAAAAATAATAAAACAACAGTTCAACCACCAACACCAAAAGTTGTCTTTGTCCTGATTTAAATTGCTTTGAACTACTAAAAATATTCTCATGTTTTCATATGGCTTCAAGCATGTATTTGTAAATTGCACTATTTTTGCTAAGTTTCATTAAATTTCAGTAATCCAAGTCTTCTTCGTTGGTGGAATGATTTTTTTTTTCTTGATTAAATTTTATCAACTTCAAAGTTTTAGAACTGATTACGATTAGTTAATGCTGATCGTTGGCTTATTTAACTAGATGGGGATGTTTCATCATATCCAAGGCAAAAAAATTTCGTCTTCTATGTCTTTCACTCTTGAATACTCAAAATTTTGGTTAAAGATAGATTTGCATGTGTATATTTTTCCTCTCTTTCTCAATGAACAACACAAAGACAAAAGACATAATACAGAGCATCTTGTCTTTATGCCTTTATATGATTTGATATAGCTTATCCTTTATCATGGGTACTAACCCAACAACTTTTCCATTATTATAGTACATGTTTCATCTCTAGTTTACCATACAACAATCCTCCAGGAAATTTGTGTTCGTAACGTGGTCAACCAATGAAAATTTTGAGAAACTACCGTCCTTGGAATAAAATAAAGCAAGCTATAACTAGAAAAAGAGGAGGGGGGGAGGGGGAGGGGGGGTGTAAACTTCAGGATAAAATTGAAGTTACTTGTAAAAAGTGATCACTCATCTCCTAACCAACTTTTACACTATTATGATCGTTTACATCAACTAGTCCATTTAGAGGAGCACAAATCCTAACCGATGATAATGCTTTGTTGAAATGCTTAGCTTTCGCGACAAGGTATTCATTCCAAGTGACTGGGCGATAGAGAGGAGGATGATTTGGGCCTACAAGTTTTTGTATGGGTGATATTAGAACAGTTGATGGTGGCCCGTAGAGATACGCAATGGATAATCTGTGTTTGTTTCGGTTAACCACCGCTCGGTGGAGCACACTAGGGTACAACCCGTTTGATAGGATATGGAGCAGGTCCCCTACATTGACAACAAGCCCGCCTGGGATTGGTGGGACGGTGACCCACCCAATTCCCTCTTTTAGCACCTGCAATCCACTTGTGTTGTTCTGGTAAAGAATGGTCAGCAGAGTGGAGTCTGTGTGTGCAGCAAGACCCATTGCCAGATCTGGATCTGGGCAAGCCGGGTAGGAGTTCAGTTGCAAGGCTGCACCACCTTCTTTGGATTCACCTTTCGGTCCAGCCCAGTTTAAATCTTTCTTGGTTATACCCAATGAGCCCAGCATTAACCATGTCAACCTCCTTGCTAGCTTTTGCATTTCTTTCTCATGTTCTTCAATTACATCGCTGTAAGAAGTCGAAATTTGATCACTAGAGAAAGATGAAAACAAAAGGCTGTATCAAATAGTAAAGATGCTATTGTTATGGATATAAAATAAAGCTAACCGCAACAAGTGGATTTTGTCTGTTGATACTATACCACTCCAAATCCTCCAAGTGGGTCCATTAGCTTTCATTGTTATCTTTGCTAATTGCATTACGGAGAGAAAATGGAGTTTGTGTTTTACCACAAAGCTTGATCTCCAATAACAAACTAATACCCACTAGTCCATACGAAAGCATGCACTAGTTAATATTGAGTTGGTGTTTATTATTTCAGTGTTTCCTTTAATACCCAAAAAGAAAAAGAAAACGAACGAAAAAACGAGTAGCTAGCTTGTGTCTATGTGTATGAATTTTTACACTTGCATGTGAAATTAGCAAGTACCAGAATTTGGTGTAATCTTGGGGCCAAAGTTGGCGAAAGTGCTCAAGTGGAGAACCAACTATGGTGAATCCCTCTGACCACATGAGCTTGGAGAAAAATGAAGAAATCCTAGCCACACCATAGCCAGAAACACCATCGGGTGATCTAGCTGCTTTGAGTTTTTGCTGGATAGGTAAAGAGAAAAGCTTGCTACTAACACTCTCAACGTTCTCAAGAAGGCTAATAGGGATGCCATGGTTTGTGACATGAAGCACACCCCAAGTTTTGCATGCATTGCCTATGTTTTGAAGGACGTTAGGATCTAAGAGATCGATAACGGGGACAGATTCCGTGATGAAGGATTCAACTGAAGGATGTTGTTGTTCAATATCATCAAGTTGGGTCCATTTGTGTGAGTCAGGTATTTCTTGAAGAGTGGAAAAGTCAAGGTGCTTTTGGTGTAGATGGACGGGGTGGGATCTAAAGGCGTCTGCCAATGATCTTGAAGGCATGGTAAAAGTTACTGGAGGGAAAAGATTGAGCGAGACAGGGAGTTTTGTTCTCCAGGCACTAAAAACAGAGAGGATATGCAAGGAGAGAGTGCTTTTGCCTCTATAAAACAACAAAGACAAGGTGAAGGTTGAGCTGGGAAGCAAGGAGTGCTCTTTTTGAGTTTGATACGTTAACTCAAGAAACAAGCTCCGGCAACATAGCGGGACTTTCCTCCAATGAAGAAAACATGCGATGACACAGAGAGTGAGATTTGTGATGAGAGTTATGGTGGGCATGTAACTTCTATATATAGAGAGTGACAATGGGCCCACTTCATGAATATATATTTTAATCTTAGTATATGTTTTACAAACTCTACAACCAGAGAGAGAGAGAGACGGGAGAAGCGAGTTCTCGTATGCGTTTCGAGTAAATGGTTTTGTAGTTTAGCTATTGAAATAATCAGCAGTACTAGTTGGAATCCAAATGGTAAAAAGAATAGTTAATTAGGTTGTAATCTAGATTCTTGATAGAGGGTAAAGGAGTCAGTTTCTTCTACTAAATTTATTAAAATCTTCCACCACTAGCTCTTTTACACTTTCCCATAAATGTATGCTGTCAACTTGATCTTTAAATCTTATTTATAATTCCCACATAAATGCCACCTGAAATGAGTGAACAGTCTTGTCGTATCTCTTAACTGGTTATAAGGACACGCATTTTAATATAATTAGATGTTTATAATGCATGAAAGTTTAAGATAGAAAATCGTACAAATTTTCTATATAAATTATATCACAAGCTACTCTTGATCAAATTCGTTGTAGGATTCAGAAATCCTCACTTTCGGCATTAAATTAGAGAACATTTTTGTATGTATTTAGCTAGATTCTACAGATCATGCTGGTGGTGGCGAAGGTAGGATAAAGACGGGGACATCTTGGAGGGCATTAGTGTGTGTTGGAGGGAGTGATGCTTTTTTTAAAAAAAAAAATTCTTTTTAAGGAGTCTTGAGTGGTTTTGGGGGAGAGTTGATGGATCACATAAGGAAATGAAAGGGCAGGAGAGTGTTTTGGCATTGGACAAGGGAAAGAACAAAAACCAAAGGACCATCTTGTCCTCTTCAAACAATATAAACCGAAGAAATGAAATGCATCACAACCTCTCCGAGTCTCACACCACAAGGGCTCCTATGAAGGGGAGACGTTGCCCCCTCGCTCTCCATGTGCCTTTGTCTTGTCCTCAAGTAGAAAAAAAAACATCCAAACCCAGATCTTGAACTAATCTCTTCACTACAAGACAATTAATACCCACCTTCGATGGTCTTATGACCATATTGACCTTTCCACTTGGCCTTTCAAAATTAGTGTTAGAAAACTCCTCCTAAATCTATGGGATGGTGGAAGAGGGAGTTCACATTGCAACTTTGGCTAGGGTTATCCCGAAGGTCACAATGGTACCTCAAAACAGAAATAAAGGAGGGAATTCATGTGTAATTTGTACTCTAATGGATAGCGATTCAAACAATAAGTTAGTTTTTTTAATAGTTTTATTAATAAATAAGGATCCATATCTAGCAATTTATATATTATTATTTTATTTTATGTTAAACAATAAAAGGTAGTTGGGTGATGAATACCCATATAGATTTTTAGAACTCTATTTAATAAACAGAATGTAAATATATAAATTCTTTATCTAATAAATAAAAAATAAATAATCAAATATAAATATAATAAAAACTCTTATCGGTTGATAAACATTGTCATCATTATCACTATTGCTTCCTTTTCACATGTAAATGCATTTAAACGTGTCCATGAAAAGTAGTAGTAAATTTATTTTGGTATTTTGCTGTTAGGTTTTGTGTTATTTTTTTCCTACTAGACAAAATGTGGTCTCTCTAAACCCTAGATATCACATCATCGAAAGCACAAGCATTTTAGAGGTGCCCCTACATCATTTGCTTAATGGGATTTTTTTTTTTTCTGTTTTTAACGTCCTCCACATTTCTCTTAACAATTATCCATACACAAGTAGCTAACAAAATATACACATTTTTTCTTTTTATGCCCTTTAATTATTATTATTTTAAAATGTGGTTGCAATGGTCACATAGCATATATAATACAAACAAGATTGTGATGTAATATTTATTATTTAGTCACTATATTATCGCTGGGATATCGAATCCCTTGTGTGTAATGCCTATCATAAATTGGACATTAGCTTGTGATCCCCACGCACACACATGCACAAGAGTCCTCATACATGCGTATATGCGTTACCTTGTTCACGTGGAACAATCTTTGATGGTCGGGTCATTACGTATAATACATCCAAAAATTAATTATTACCGTTAAACCTGGTTACTTGCAAGACAATTATCACTAGCTTGTGATTAGCGCAGATCAATCGGATCCATCCTTTTTCATTAATAAATCTTTTTTGATGATATTTCTTATGAATAAATTCAATCCGGATCATCAAGAAAAAGGAGAAAACGCAAAGAACTAGCTTGTGATTTGGTCTATTTGCACACCACAGGAGAAAACGCTTCTCTCTGCCAATTGTTAAAAATAAGGGCTTCTAAGTTCTTTCATGAGCCTTCGCTTCTCTCTGCCAATTGTTAAAAATAAGTCCTCCAGCTTTTTATTTTTCAAACCGATTCCTAATTTATTTATTTTGCATACAAACATCGAGGTGAAATTAGTGGTTGAAATAAGTGTGGCATAGTAAACATATATATGAAAAATAAATCAAAATCTAGTTTTATAATAACTAGAAATATTAATTAATTTTTTAAAGTTTCTATACAAGAGGTTGGTCATATAACATTAAAGATATACATTATTCTATATATTTTATCTAAAATGAGTGGTATTATTGTTGGTTTTTAATGACAAAATGTGTTTAAGGTACTTTCATGCTGTAGTTGTTTATTTTTTTTTATTATGAAATATACAATTACATATCAATTTCTCTTATTATCCATTGGGCAATTTTATAGAATAATGCCTAATAATAGTTTATTTATCCTATATTGTTTTTATAGATAAATACAATTAACATGTCAAATATATTTATTTTCTCATGGATATTTATGATAAAGTCACATATTAAGAAATTTTATTATCTTTTCAGTAACCTTTTTCAAGATAATGTTAATGTTGGTTTATTTATCCTTAGTCAATTATAAATAATAAAATCTTTAATAAAAAATTCAATAACAACTATTAATAGTTTATTTATTCTAAGCTGATCTTTATTATTAAATCCTTGATACATAATCAAAACTTTGATGATTATTTATTTAAAAGGTGGGTAAAAAAATATTTTTTTCCAACATATTTTATTATTGGTCTCATCAACTATTGATGATAGTACCCTGTAGACCCATGATCAATAATAAAACCATAACTAAATATTTATTATTTAATTTTTTTTTTCAAAGATGATTCAATCGACTTCTAATTAATGATAAAACCTGTTAAATATTTATTTATTATAAAAGAAAAAGGGTACAGGTTTTTCTTTCTTTCTTTGTCAGCGACGGCTTCAGCATGAAAACAGAGAGTGTGCATATAGCTAATCAATGATCAGTGTGACGGAAGGCCGGAGAGAAGGGTTGCTAGATTTTTTTTGCTCTATTTATACTAGCACCAAAGGCCCTCGTCACCACTCCTTTAACCTTCCAAAACCTTCCTTTCGTATTTATCCCTTCATTTATTTTATTATTTTTATTTTTGCATTGCTTGGAGGTGGGGTCTTCAAATGTCAAATTGGTCCCATCCTTTACCCAATTACATTATACTCACAAACAAACTTTTATTGATTTTCTTCTAATTAATTATTTTTTCTTTGAGTTCTTGAAAAGTTCGTTAACATGAAAATGATACCAAAATACTCGATAACTAGGAAATGATTGAAGATTAGCCTTTATCTCTTGGTGTTCGGGCAACCTTTTCCTGGCGACATTGGTATCTATAGATGTAATGTCGGAAAAGAGTTCCTGGCGACATTAGCATCTATAGATGTAATGTCGGAAAAGACTTCTCCCAAGAAAGCTGTTGAAGAGAAATTTAGTGTATTTGAGCTGTGGTATCATTCTTGTCAGTTCAGTTCCGGAACATACCGAAGTCTCACAAGAAAGCTGCTAGAGAGAAATCTAGTGTATTTGAGCTGTGGCCGGTACCATGCTTGTCAGTTCAGTTCCGGAACATACCGAATCGAATCCTAGATTTGGCCATTTAATTTCCTAGTGATCTTTTAAGAAGCTAAGGCAGCTACTTACCTGCTAAATCCATCAGAAATTGCTGCATATTTTACCTGGAACTTCATGAGGTAAGCAGGATTGGAAACTAGTAAGAAACTTTCTGAGTTGAGGGTCCTCCCAGTGTGTGACGAGACCACACCAGGAGGCAAGAGCAATGAGAAACCTCCGTTCATTTCACGTTCCATTAATCTATTTCCTCCGATCTTCATAATTCAGTGGCCTTGTGTACTTCTTCCTAATCCTATTTTCCCCATCAAAGTTGGCACTGAACCATTGTTAGGATCATTTGGCACTAAAACAGGAGGAGCATCAAATCATTGCCAATATCGAAAATTGTTTGTTGAAACGAGATTTACCGGATGATTAACAATATAAGCTTTAGAAATCACCGTTAATTAATGAGAGAAACCTCAAATTGGTCTCTTAACTATGAAACAATTATCAATTTAGCCCTTGAAGAAAATATTATTGATAAACTATTTATAAAGGAAAAGGACCCACAAAGATCAGAGATTCAGACGTAAATACCATGATAAACCACCCAAAAATCAAATAAACAGAAAGAGAGACATGAAAGATTTCACAAAATCAATCAAAACCAAATTATAAAATCAATTGCAAAAGCTATAAAAAAACTTGGAGACAATCAGATAAATAATCAAACAGGAGATTGTAATTTTTTGATGAAAATCGAGAAAGAAAATACAAATTTCTAATTTGAATAAAGAAATAAATTAGCGATTTCTACTTAGATGAAGAAACAAAATTGAACATTGAAAAAATTGTCTTTCTAGAGATTGATAGTAGTTTAGGGATTGATTTTAGATATATTTTTTTTTCAAAGAAAAACAAAGTCTTTTTTAACTGTTTCTTTGGTTACTTTTCTCTAGAACATGCTCATCGCTCTCATGTTGCCCAAATGAAATTACTTAAAATCTAACAATGATGATAAAAGATGAACATCAAAAAAGAGAGAAAATAATAATTACAAAAATCTTCTTTGATTAAAAAAATTAATATGAGTGTTTGGGTCAATTTATGCGTATTACGACTAATCTCACGGGTTCTAAAGT